TTTTCAGGGCAGAGAAGGCAGCATGCTCTTTCTCCCCCCACGTAAAAGCGACCCCCTTCCGCAGTAAGTCCGTCAGTGGGGCAGTTAACCGTGCCATATCGGGGACGAACCGACGTACATAATTAACGAACCCTAAAAAGCTCTGCAGCTCTGTGATGTTCGTCGGGGGATGCCACGCTTTTACCGTATCCAGCTTCTTTGGGTCGATTTCAACTCCAGCCTCCGAAATAATGTGCCCCAAAAATTCTAACATATCCTGGAAGAACTCGCACTTGGAACCCTTGGTCAGTAATCTGTGCTCGTCTAAAACCTTAAACACTGCTTCCAGATCTGCTAAGTGCTGCTGCTTATCCCGACTGTACACTAGGATGTCGTCGAGGTAAACTATTAAACATTTATCTAAGAGCGGCCGAAATGCCTCGTTCATGGTCATCTGAAAAGTCGCCGGTGCGTTGGTCAGCCCGAATGGCATCACAGTGTACTCGAACGACCCGTACCTAGTCCTGAAAGCTGTTTTGGCGCAGTCCGATGGTTTGACCCTAATCTGATGGTAACCTCCCCGTAAATCTATTTTCGAAAAAACCCGTGCTGTTCGCAGTTGGTCGATCAGTTCGTCGGCGCGGGGAATTGGGTACCGCGACTTGACTGTTACCCTGTTCAGTGCTCTGTAGTCGATACACATGCGAAAACCCCCGTCTTTTTTCGGCGTGAATAGTATCGGTGCGGCGAACGGTGACGAGCTCGGTCTGATGATTTTTTTCTCTAACAGGTAATCTAACTGCTTCCTTAGTTCGTCGAGCTTGGGCTGTGTCAGTCTGAACTGGCGCTGTACAGTTGGTTGTGCCCCCGGCTCTAATTCTATTCGGTGGTCATGTGCTCGCTGAGGTGGCAGTCCTTCCGGTAAGTCGTCGGGAAAAATCCCGGGGTATCGTTTCAACAGTTCCTGTAGTTCGGGCGGTACTGCTGCCAGCAGTTTCTTGAAATCACTCGGCTGCTCTGCTCCCTCTACCACTGCAATGTCTACTGCGTACACGTCAGCTCCAGCAGCGACAGCCCGTTTCATGGTGACGGCATTGACGTGTACCGTTGAAGACTCGGGCGACTGCCAGCGAGGTAGCTCGACCCAGTTACCACTACTTCGCACGGTGCAGCTACCCGTCGTCCAGTCAATTCGCGGGTTATATCGTCGCAGCCAATCACGTCCCAGTAAAATATCGTGCCCATCCAGTGTCGTTGCGAGCAGTTCCTGTGTAAACCTGAAATTTCCCCCGCAGCGGACTTTGACTCTCTCTACCTTTTCCCGTATGGCCAGTGGCGTGCCGTCGACTAAGCGTGCGTCTATCTCCGGTAAGCAACGGCTAAGTGTCAGCTGCAGTTTTCGTGCGGTTGCGGTATTAACTAAACCGTGGCTTGCTCCTCCGTCGATAAAAATCTTCACTGCTGCTCCCTGTATTTTCCCGTGGATCAGTACTGGGCAATCCGTCGCTGTACCCTCATTCGTCCGAGTCCGATCGACAGCATGAATCGGTACTGTGACTCGGTGAGGGTCGGTGGGGTTGGGCGAGCAGGCAGTCTCGTCAGTAGTTGGCCCGATTCCTACTGACTGCTGGCGTTTCTTTGCCTTAGAGACTCCCTCCCCTGCTCTGCTCCGCGGCGCCTTAGCTCCTCTGGGCATTCGCTCTTGCGATGGCCCGGCCTGTTGCAAGCAAAGCAGCGCCCCTTAAACGGCGCGGCAGATGCATTCGTCGCAACAGCGTGTACAGTGGCGTGCTCGATCGGTCCCCGAGGACGATGTCCATAGTAGGACCCCGGTCTCGGACGGCGTAAAATGTCGATTTTCTCGGCGAGCGCGAGAATCTCGTTGAAGTTCGAGAGCCCGCGTAGCATGATTTCATGCGAGATGTCCGGCTTCAGCCCTCCGACGTAACGGTCCACCCGCTCCGCTTCGTGCATGTAGCCAACTTGCTCGCATAATGCGAGAAAACCACTCGTATAGTCTTGAAACGATCCGAGCTGCCGCCAAGTGCGCAATCTCTGACGCGCCGAAATAGAAGCCGCGATCGGCTCGAAGCGCGCCCGAAGCCCTGCACACCACGCATCCCACGTGCTGTATTGGGCGGTCTCGCAGAATGAACTCCAGGTGACAGCTGGACCCGTGGGCCCTTCCTCTTGCGACGGTGGCTCGTAGGCGCGTGGCGACGTCACGATGACTCGCCACCAGTCCATGGCGGGGCCCCTTAGCAGCGAAACAGCGTAGCGAATCTTCGCTGCGTCCGACTCGACGTAATTCGCGTCGAAGAAGACGTTCATCGTGAAGACCCACGATTGAACCGTCGGACCTCCACGCTGGCTCGGGTCGAAGCAGGGCGGGCGTTGCGGCTTGAGTGGCATTGGTGCCATGATGGCCTGTTCGCCACTTGTCGCCGCGAACTCCACGTGCCGACGGGCTTCGCGAGGCTCCCGCGGGCTTGGTGCGACCCTGTTTCCTCCCATGCCAGGCATCGGCTGGGCGGCGCCATCGCTGGCTGCGCCTGAGCGCTGTCCCACGCTGTTGTTTTGTGTTGGTGTGCCGGACGAGATGACGATCGGCTCGTCTGATTGTGCAGATGCATTTGTCGGTGCGTGTGGTGGCGCTGGAGTGTTCATCGTTGATTGCTGACGCGCGGAGTCACGTTCCGCCGTGAGCGTCGCAATTTCGAGCGCCGAATCTTCGAGTTGGCGCACCAGACGGTCGAGCTGCTCCTGCGTCAATGTGGCGAGCGTGAATTCGGCCATGGCGGGGGTGTCGGGCGAGCTCAGCGAGAGCCTCAGTCGTAGCCGTGCGTGCTTACGAGAGAGCACTACGAGCGGCGGTGCTTGTGTCGCTGAGAGACGTCCACCCCCCCAAAAATTGAGATAGTGGGGAAGCGAAGGTGTGGGTGCGGTCCGAGAGGAGATCGTAGGCTCTGAATACCAAGTGTTACGAGTGCAATTGAATGAACGAACGAGAATTGCACTATCGAAGCAAGAGTACAATGAGCGAAGGCATGAGCGAAGAATATATACCGGTAGCGAAACTACAGTGGTAACGGTAATGGACTGTGGTTGTCGCGCGACGGGCCTGGGACTGAGGTTGGGAAAAAGTGTCGAAGCGGAGGCCCGGAGCGCGGGTTACCCGCCGAGCCGTGAGGTCGGGGTGCGATGTGCGAAGGTGGCGGGCAGATTGTCGATGCGAGGGTTGCGAGTGGTAACGGTGCTGACTGTGGTGCTACAGTGATGTACGCGTTGAGCAGGGATGCGAATTAAGGAAAAGGAATTTTCCTTACAAGCAGACACTTCTGGGAAATCGATGTGCTTCATGTTTCTGTATAAAGAGCAACTTATGTTCACAAGAACAGTTTTATCTTCATTGGAAGCACACACTAATATACACCATGCAATACGCTATACACGTTCTCGCAATGCAGACTTCAAAGCATGTGTACGGGGTTGGAGATATCGAACCGACACGTCAGTGCCCCCAAAACCACTGAGGGACCGTACGCCTCCTCTCATCAAAGCCACGCTGGAGCCTAGCGGACGAACCACCTCCTGCCAAGCAATCAGCCAATCCGCTTCGACCTTGGCTTGACCCCATACCGCCACCCTCGCCGTTCTCCACACACAGATTCCCCCAGCAACAAGATCCAAAGAATCCGACCGTTCATTCGTACCCAGCCCGTATCGTGTGAGGGTTTCACCACATCAGCCTTTCGGCCCTCCAACGCCCTTGCCTGCTCACTCCGCGCTCGGGCACACCACCACCACCTCCTCGCTTGGGGTTCTTCTGCAAGCAGACGCTTTCTAGGGTTTCATCGCAGCAGTCAGCAACACATCCCTTTCCGCTTCATCTCGCCACGCCATAGCCTGCAGTAGAACGAACGAACCCCTCGTTTCACAGTAGCACCCCAGCCGTCCGTCGTTCAGTCGCTTTTTCTCACCAGCAAGTACTTGCGGATTGCAGTGCAGATATGTCGGGTTCAGACGGAAGAGTCGGTGGACATGGGAACAACCTTCCAATATCAGAAAACAATCCCGGTCCTCCTGCGTATGAGAAATCCTCTAGCACACGGTCTAGTCGTGACGCGCCAGGTTACCGCTGGTCCGAGGACGAGGAGGAACTAATCGCTAAGGCGAGATACGAGTTAAGAGGCGATTATAAGGAGCTCGTAGGGAAGCAGGGCTCCAGTTTCTGGCTGAAAGTATGGGCTCAGGTGAAATCTTGGGATCCTGCCTGGGATCGACCCGTCGACGCGGTGAAGGTTAAAATCCACCGCCTGGAGCGCAAGTATCGGGATATTCTCGAGCAGGAAGCGCAACCTGGTGCCGTTGCCGTTCAGAAGCCGCTGTGGTGGAAATGGCTGAGTCTTTACATGGAGGAGAAGATGGAGGAGGAGAGGCAGGAGGCGAGAGAAGCATGGAGAGACGGTGGACGCCCGGATGGTTCGGATCAGCAAACGCTTCCGTCGTCTTTCAGACCGTTTTCGCAGACGGTCGGACCGATTCAGCCGGCGTATCCTCCCCCACCGGAAAGCCCGTCTGACGGACTGGACGGATCGCAATTACAGCAACTTGACAGAACGCCGTCAGCGAAACGGAAGAGAGATTCGGAGGCAGCTTTGGCGGCTGAAGACTCGCAGGAACAAGATACGGAATTAAACGTGAAGAAGAAGAAGGGGTCACGCAAGAAAGGGGGATTGAAAGATGGGGACCTGTCAGGAGGAGCAGCAGGTGCAGCAGCAGACGCGAATGGGGATGGCGGTGCCCCGGCGAAAGAAGCTTCGACAAAAGATTACGAGCGGTGGAGCGAGCGCGAGCAGGTTTTAGTAGCCCGCGCGCGGTTCGAACTCCACGACGAGTATAAGAAGCGGCCAGCTGGGCAGCAAGGGAGCTTCTACGGACGGCTGAAAGAATACATTAGGTCGACTAAGGAGCCGTCGTTCGACCGGCCGTTCGAGGCGATTAAGTTGAAACTACACCGAATGGAGCGGAAGTATAGGGTTATTAAGGAGCGTGTAAGGGAGCGCGAGCCGGGCGACGCGTCGGCGGAGAACGGGGAAGGAGCAAACGCGCACCTGGTGCTGAAGCCCAAGTGGTTCAAGTGGATCGACCGTTACTTGAGCAAGTCGCTCGGTTGTTTTCCCTGCGCCGAAAGCCTTCTCCCAGACAGCCCTAGCCCCCCCTCCTCCCCTCGCGACAGCCCTTCGCGAAGCGACGCGCCTGGCGAAGGGCTCGTCCGCAGACAGTCCGTCGCAGACGGTACGGGCTGGAAAACGACAAAAGGGGCGGGCGGGAGCAATTCCATGCTGCTGCCGCCTAGCGCGTCGGTGAACAGCCAGCCGAATGCGACGGGCGCGGGCGGTGCGAGTGGGGCGGGCGGTGAGAACGCGATGCGAAGCGAGGCTGCGAACGGCGCTGCGAACAGCTCTGCGACTGGGCTGGTCGGCATCGTCAATCCCGGCGCCATGAACGGCGCAATTAACGGCGCCATGCCGCCTCCCCCGCACATCCTCACATCCCCTCCAGGCTTCTTACCGCCTCCGCCCCCCGGCTTCTTCCCCCCCGGCACTTTCTTCGCGCCAGGTTTCTTCCCCCACAGCTTCTCCGCCACCTCCTCCAGCTTCCGCCCGCCTGCTCCCCCCGGGGTGGCGCCTCCGGGAGGCGTTTCCGCTGCCCTGCTCTCCCCCCAGGGCGCAGGACCTCCGGGGAATCTGGGCACGGGTGGCGGCAGTGGCGGCGGCGGCGGAGCTGGTGGTGGAAACGGGGGCGGCGGAGCAGCGGGCGCGGCTGTCCCGCAAGGAGGGTTCTGGGGGCAGCTGGTGAGTCCGGCAGGGGACGGCAGCATGGGGCAGGACGGCTTTCCCACCCCGGGGAACATACCAGGGGGGATGCCTTTCCCAGGTAGTGCATTTGGCGGGCAGGCCAGCACGAATGGAGGGAGCTTGGCAGGTGTTACGACTGGTGGTGGTGGGGGCGGTATAAGTAGCAGTGCATTGGAGCAGAAGCTGGACGAGGTGATTCGAGTGGTGAGGGAGAGCAACGAGGAGTGGCAGAAGCGGTTTGTGGAGGAGCAGGAGAAGAACCGTCAGCTCTTCCGCGAGCTCTTCATGACCTTCATGGGGCCGCGCATGAGCGCCCCTGCCACTTGACGCGAGTGTCGCCTCGGCGAGTTCAACGTGCCGTCACTGCGGCAGGTACAATGTGAGGCCGATGTTGGTGTGCTGTTCATGTCCCCAGCTGCTGGCCTGCTGTTGGTTTCGTTCGGCGTGGGGAGTTGATGCACGTATGACTTGTGTTGCCCCTGCTGTCATGTGTCTTGCGATGTTTTGGTCTGTGATGCGCCGGTTTGAAAGCACAACCCCTTCTTGCTCTCTGTTCCCTCCGTGTGCAGGCATGCTCAGCTTGAGGTGGCTGTGAGGGGCGTGTGCGCCGCGTCCACTCGTACGGATTGTATCGTGTTCCTCGCAAGGGGAACTGTGATGTTAGAGCGTGTTCCTACGGCCTCATATCAGTGCACTGGGAATGAACCGGTCCTAGCTGTACTACGGTCAGCCAGCTGCATCCACTCCACTGCCACATAGAGCATTTGCTACAGTGGCGCCATGGTGCTAAGCTGCGCCTGCGTGCAGAGAACTGGTCTACCGTATGTCATGTCAACAGCTGTAGCTGCCTCTGGTAATAAAAAGTTGGTGCAGTATGTCTTCCTCAGTCCGATTCACAAAGGAGGAATGCCCACTATCACCTGTGTCTGCATGCGTATGGGCTAGAATGCCATCTCTCCCGACAATCCACGGGAAAATGCTGTCACTGGGCATCTTTGCATGTTGTTTCAAGACCTTCAATAAAACGATGGGGTTGTTTGTGGATGAAGCTCACCACCAATGTGCTCAAATAACAAAGTTCTCACATCAACTCATACCGTACATCATCTTACGGTACAAGCCTGCCCTAAGCGGCACCAAAAATGCGGCAGACTGGTTCAGCAGACGGTCTGCGGGCGACTTTTGAGGTGCCTCAGAAACCATGACATACATGTTACTACAAGCCCGCCCTACGCAGCGCCGAGCACAGTGATGGCATGCGGCAGGCTGGTGCAGCAGATGGTCTGTGGGCGCCGGCTAGCATCCAGCACGGCCCACCATGGGTTGGGGTTCTGCGTGTGCCCCGCTCGCCCCGCTAGCTGTGCGTGTGAGGCGAGGAGGGAGGTGGGCGAGGGGCCCTGGTTGTCCACCACTGCTGCTGCGAAGAGTGTGTACTCGCCGGGCACGAGGAAGCACAGGCTCAGCTTGTGGTGCAGCGACTGGCCAGGGTCCAATGTGGCATCGATGCCGTTTAGTGTGCCTGTGAGGTGGGGTGTGCGTGGGTGGGACGGATGGCAAGGAGTGGGTGGGGAGTGTGTGTGTGTGGAAGCAGCACGGGGATGTGATGCAGAGCACGTGGCAATGCACACAGGCAGCTGCATGGTCGTGTGCAGGAGATCATGGAGCATGGGCAGTTGAATGGAGTGGAATGCAGCAGCAGTGCAGTATGTACAACCCACCTGCCCACATGACGTGCTGCTTCTGAGTGGCCTCCCCCACGCACGTCTCGCCAGTCACGTCGCGACACGTCACGCTCACGCTCACGGCCAGCTTGCCCTTGCTCTGATTGGTCACTGTCAGCTCCACTGTTGTGAACTCCAACGCACTCGTCACACTGAACCCCGCCCCCCCTCCTCCTCCTGCCCCTCCTCCATCCGCGTTTGCAGCTCCCCCTACCCCACTCCCTCCTTCCCTCGCAGCACCACCATCACCAGCCGCTAGCCCTGACGTTTCCCTCCGCTCATTGCCACCGCTCCCAGCACTTCCAACCCCAGCAGCAGCAGCCGCAGTGAGAGGAGGAGCAGTGACTCGGAATGAAAACGCTAGAGGATCAGGCAGCAGCACTGCCACGGCCTGACTCTCCACCACCGCCCGCACCGCCTCTCTAATCCTCACCTCCCCGCGGCAGTTCCTTGCAGACAGCCACCGCACCTTCACCCGCGAGCATATCGCGTTGATGATGGTTGTGAACGGCGACGGGATTGGCCCGAGGCCCAGTGCCAGCTGGCGCCGCACAGTGGTGTCGCCGCCCGTCTGCTCCTCGTGGTGGAGTACTGCCAGGGCGGCCTCCGCCTCGGAGCCCAGGAGGGAATCGAATCCGCCGAGCGGGATGAGCAGGCGGGCGGCGCAGTCTCGTCCGATGCGGGAGTGTGAGACGGAGCCGCCCGAGGCGAGGAGGGAAGCTTCCTCTAGAGAGGCCTGAAGGTTGGATGCGGGGGGGAGTAGACTGGCGGCAAGCAAAGACCCTGAAGCTGCCGATGCTGCTGATGCTGCCGGCGCTGCGTTTGTTGCTCCTCCTGTAGCTGTGCCAGTGGCGGTAGCACCAGCAGCACCAGCGGGAGTGCTGGGTTGGTCGTGGGGGGCGGGGGGGTCAACGAGCACGGAGACATCAAAGGCAGAGTCAGTGCCGTTCCACACCTCCAGATCCAGCAGCCTCAGTCCCTTGGCCTGCCTCACCGGCACCTCCATCTCTCCCACTGCCTTCCTCACTCCTGCTCCTCCCCCCGTCGCTCCTACCCCTTTTGCCTGGGAACCCCACGTCAAGCCTGCCCCAGCCCCACCACCACGGCCAGACGCAGCAAGGTTGGCAGCACCACCAGCAGCACCGCCACCGGCAGCAGAGGTGGTGGCGACCCCCCCATCGGACTGCACGGCGGGAGTGACGCCTCCCGTGACGAGCAGACGGGCACGCACAAGGGACAGGCCGCGCCGCACACACAGGTTGATGGGGAACGACAGCCGCCGCCCGGGCACCGCATCGTCCTTCCCCTTCTCCTTCTCCTTCTCCTTACTGGTAGCTCCAGATTTGGAGGCAGGGGTTGGTGCTGCTGGGGTGGCGGGATCACTCTCGGGATCTTTGTCGGGGCCTGCATAATGCACGACCAGGTTCACTGTGTCTTCCTCCTTGCTGCTCGTGCTCTGCTCTGCCCCCCCTCCGCCCTCCCCCCCTCCCACATCATCCTCGTCGTCCTCCGAACTCTCTGGCTGGAACTGGGCCACGATTTTCACGGGCAGGGTGACTGCAGCTCCCGGAAGCAGGGGCAGCGCTGCTGCAAGTTTTTCCTGCCCGAGAACGATCAGGTGCCGCTTTTGCCTGCCTGCAACAGAAACAAATGCGTCTACTACGGGCACTCGACTGGAATTTACCAGCTTGACCGAAATTTCCCGGACCTCCCCGTCAAAAAGAACCGCGGCTGCCCCGTCGCCGTCCTCCGCCGTGGCGACCAATAGCGGAAGCTCGGGCAGCACAGAAATATCGAGCACGGGCAGGACGGAGGTGGACGGGATGGGAGAGGAGGCCAAGAATCCCCGCCCAGCGCTGGCACCGCTCTTAACCGCAGTGTCGACACTCGCTGCCGCTGCAGAGAGAGAGGAGGTGGCAGAGATAGTGGGGGCGGATAGAGGAGTGGCTGTAGCAGCTGCTGCAGCGGAATTAGCAGCCACAGACGCAGCAGCAGCGGGCGAAAAAGGATCCACCAGACCCACGCCCGGAATCAACGGCAGCCCTGCTCCCGACCCCACACTCCCTGCCGCCGCAGCAACGGTCGTGATCGTCGTGTCGGCGAATCGATGGTCCGTAAGAACCCCGAACGACTGCAGGAAACAGCCCAGGACCGTAATCACCCCCGGCGACCGCGGCAAGCCAGAGAGCGTGAGCAGATGAGAGTAGGTATTCGGCCGCAGAGAGAGCGACGCGGGGAACGGCTGAAAGTCCCCATCCACATTCAGGTAGATGGATTCGATATCGACAGCGCAGGCGCAGGGGTTGGAGAGCTCGATGATGACTTGAGCCACCTCGCCCACGATCCACACCATGTCGGGCTTCACGTTGGCCGCCCGCGTGGTGAACGGCGTGTAGATGAATGGGCCCCCCCCGCCTGCCCCCACCCACCAGTCGCGCTTGCCTCGCGTGCGCTTCACGACTTGGGTCTGCTGGGGGGCTGTTGCGAACGCATGGAACCTGGTGGGGGGGGAGGATGGAGGGATAATGTGAGGGCAGAGGACGGATGGAAGGAACAAAGGGCAGAAGTGCAGGGTGGGTTGGGGGCACAAGAAGGGTGGTTCAAAAGCCAGAGGACACATCAAAGCAAAACACGGGGATAAGCAATCAGATGACTCAGAAACAAAGGAGCTCTCAAGAATCCAGCTTCCCTCAAGGGAGTTTGACTTTTCACCGCCAACCTCCCCAGCACTACCTGACAAAGGGAAGAGCAAGGTCTGGGCAGCGAGTGCCAGCTGGCAGCCTCTCACTGGCCGATGTGAGCGCTTGGGCCAACGATTCCTGATGAGAGGGAAGAAGGTGCATGGAGGAAGGGGACAGGTGGTCAAGAGGACGTGGTGAGAGCTAGGGAGAGACAAGGGAGTGGCAAGGGCGAGGTGATTGCAAGGATGAAGAGACAGAATACGGGAAGCTGTCACTGCTCAACACGTGGCAGGCAAGGTAGTGCCACCCACCTGGCTCTGCGGCAGGATGAGAGGGTAGAATCCGCGCAGCAGGCGAGCAGCAGCAGCCCAGGCAGCCAGCGGTTCACCAGCACGCACAGCAACGGCGAGCATGTCACTGAGCAGCTCCATCTGCAGGCGGCTCCACTGCCCCCCTCCCAGCGGCGGTGCACTGCTCTCCAACGCCGTCACCCCCGCCCTGCTGCTCTTCCCCCCACCTTTCCCCCCCACACCTCCTGCTCCTGTTCCTCCTCCTCCGCCTCCGCCCCCTGCAGCTGATCCTGCTGAGGTTGCACGGGGATTGTCGACAGGGAGGGCCGGAGAGGGCACGGGGGAGAGCGCGAGCGACTGCACCTTGTAGGACGTGGACGCCAGCGCGAGCACCTGCATGGGAGGGGGCACTCATAATGAGAGTACTTTTCACTTATGAGTCGTCTCAATAGTCATCCAAGTGACTGCATCTTGTCGCACGAAGAGGCAATGAAGAGAGAGCAATGAAGTGAGCACAGCGGGCGGGTGTACTGTGTTCTGATGGCACAGGGGGAGCAGTGAGGTGCAACAAACCTCATGTTCTGCATCTTGACATGCGGGTCACAAGGGGGGAGAGAGGCTGGACTGACCTGCAG